GTTTGTCTTTCCGGACGCCGGCGCGCGCGCTTGCCTCACGCCGGCGTGCGCGGCTCCGGCGAGGCGCGACCGGAGGACACGTCCTCGTCACGTCCCGCACACGCGCCGTAGGCGCAGCAGCTGCGGGAGGCGCGCGCCGCGGCGCGGTCGGGCGGGGAGGGCGCGGTGGACGCCGATCGCAAGGCGACGCGGCGGCGAAGAGGGCGGCGGCGGACGATCGAGGCTGATGCGGCGACGGCGGCGTTTGGGCCAGCGCGAGGGGCGCTGCCGGGCGATGTTGTCGGGAAAACGGCCGAGACTCCTCTCACTTGACTTTGCCTCTCAGTGCTCAGAGTGTTGTCGCGCACTTTGAGGCAGCGCGGTTGAACTTACTAGATCTCGATATTGGCGTTTCTCTCTCCACACTTAAGTGCCCACAGAGGAGACCTCCTGTGGGCACCTAAAAGTGGAGGAGCGCCCCCAAAAGAAATCTAGACCAGCGTAACCAGTCGATGGGTAAAAAGGAACAGGGCGGGGACCTGTTCCTTTTTACCCATCTCACAGTGGAGAGAGGTGTCCGTTTTTATTTATTTTTATTTAGTCGAGGGAGATCCACATCCCAGGGGCAGGGCGAAGGGGCTCGCTGGGAGGCACAATCCGAAGTGCTCTCAGACTTGCTCTCAGTGGGCGACGTGTGGGAGACACGTGCGCGCGGCCGGGTGGCGGGTGCGCTCTCAACCTAAGGTCGGGAAAATAGGGGGGAGAAAGAGAAGTGTCAGTGTGAGTGTGAGGTGGGCGCCTGGGCGTAGGCTGGCGTTTTTGCCTTTGTAAACTGAACAGTTGTTTCACACATCCTCACCGGGCGGCTGCAGCGCGAGGTAGCACGCCCAGCTCACCGGCACGCTGCAAAAGAGCGTGCCGCAAGCCAGCAGTAGCCCTGTCTTGAGCGGCCCGCCCCTCGGCGCCCCTCCGCCCGAGCGCGTGATGCCGGTCACGGCGCTGGCTGCGGCGACGGGGCCGAAGCCCGCGAGGACGGCCAAATGCGCTGCGAGTCGCGGCGCGGCAGCGTGCGCGCCCGCTGCGACGTCGCTCGCCGCCACCGCCCACGCCAGCACGCACCCGGCGCTCAGCGCGAGGTACGCCGCGAACTCGAGGCTGGGAGGGCGAGTCAGCGTCGCCTGAGGCGGAGGGGAGGTGCGGGTCTCCCGCGCGCACCGGTCGAAGGCACCGGCTGCCCCTTCCCCCCCCGCCCCCGCGTGCTGAGCCAAGCCGCATCCGCATCGGACTGCGGGTCTCGCGGTACGCGGCGGGCGGCGGCCCCGCGCGTGTGCGTGCGCGCGTCGCCTTCGCGTCTGGCCGCGGCTTGCAGCCCTTTTGGTCCGTCGGCTTGAGCGTGTCCACGAAAGAGCCGAACCAGACGTCGAGGAAGCCTACGGGCGGCCGGCACTCGACGCCTCGGCGGCGAGATCGCGCCGCATGCCGGGCCGGCACCGCTCTTCGAGGCCGGCGTTGGTGCCTACAGGAAGGTTCCGAGAAGGTTCCGAGAAGGTGGTCGCCCCTCCTCGCGGGTCCTCGAGGCCGGCGTCGGTGCCGGCGTAGTTGCAGGAGACGTAGCGGTGGTGGAAGTAGTGGTACGCGTCTGCCTGCCAGTGGTCCTCGAAGCCGGAGTGGGACGCGCCCGGCGAGAGCAGGAGGTGCACCCCTACGGGTCGGGGCAGGGGCTAGGGGCCGGAGTGAGGCTGCTGTGAGGTTGCCTCCTACTACTAGAGTGAGGCTACTGGCGCCGATGCCGTACCCGGTGGCGCACCGCTGCTACCGAGCTCTGCTGGCGCTGCTACCAGGCGCGAGGCTGCGCTAGGCGCACGCCGTTCCAGAGCAGCGCGAACGGGGTAGTGAGGAGGAGGAGGGAGGGGAGGGCGCACGCAAAGTAGTAGAGGTGCTCCACCTGTGCGGTGCGAACAACAACAACAACAATAATAATAATAATAATAATAAAGGAGTTGTGTTCAGAGCATCGCGTGAACACAAATGCCACCAGCACGCGTCTTTCCCGAAGTGCTAGTCGGGTCCCAACTCGGCATCTCTTTCTTTCTGCTGCCGGGTGCATGCACAGGCCGGAGAAGGGCTCCACGTCCGTGTTGCGGTGGTGCAGGCTGTGCACCTGACGAGGTGAAGAGACAGTGAGGGGTAGGCGCAGAGTGAAGACAAGCTGCGGCGGTGCAGGCTATCGCACCTGCGCGTACAGGGCGTTGAAGTGCAGCATCCGGTGCGCAAAGAAGAAGTGCACGTCCCGCCAGAGGGGGACGAGGAGGAGCGCGGCGCAAAAGTGCAGCGCGCCGCGCCGCGACGACCAGGCGGTCTCGTCCACGTACGCCAGCCTCCCCGTCGCCCAGAGGTAGGCAAAGACATTCTCAAAGCCCGTCCAGATGACGACGCCAGAGACCGACCAGACGAGGTTGTGCGCAACCCTGCCCGGACGGTACTCGCGCGCCGCGACAAAGGGCCGCTCGGCGAAGCCAAACCAGTGCAGCGTCGCGTGCCACCAGAGCGTGTAACCTAGCCACACGCCCAGCCACAGCGGGAGGCGCGCGGCGAAGAAAGCGGCGCTCAGAGGCGCCGACGCGGCCGGCCCGGTGCGAGACAGGTCGTAGGGCACGCACTCAAACATGCAGACCGCGATGAGCGCCCAGATCGTGTTGGGCGTGTTGATGAGGACGAGCGGCCCAGCGCGGAGCCAAGCCGCAAACGTCGGCCGCGGTATGACAGAGGCGCCAGGCGGGAGGGCGGAGTCGACAAAGGATGGCGATACCCTGTAGAAGCGCCCGTCCGTTGCCCCGGCGAAGCCGCGGATCAGGGTGGAGAGCATAATAGTGGGTGGCGACGTAAGCCGTGCGCTGGGGCTAGGGATCCCTTATAGAGATGTTTATTTAGAGGCGGATCCCTACAGGGCAACCTCGGATGAATGAGTCAGGAGGTGTCACTAACTCGTGTGAAGAGCCCCGATGATGTAGTGAGTGAGTGGTCCCGGGCCCTGCGGGGAACTAAGTCGACGCAAGTTAGTCTGTGAGCTGGACGAGGGCTAGTGGTGCGCCGAGGCGGGTCAAGTGCTCCCGGGAGTCGTGGTCGGAGGCCGGGACACTACGCACACTAACTTAGTGCGCGGAAGTGAGTGCCTCCGGCCGGCCGCGAGGGGAGTGGTCCGGCGGGCCGCTCGTAGTGCCCTTCGCCGGCGGACGGAGGCGAGATCGGCTACTACGCGCACTAAAACTTAGTGCGCGGAAGTGAGTGCCTCCGGCCGGCGAAAGAGTAGAGACATGCACAAGCTCACTTCTCCATCGCCAGCCCGACGCGCTCGTAGACGTAGTTACAGGTTGACCCAAATAATCTCTCTCACACAGTACCGCTGTCACTGTCTCAGGCCCGCTCATGCGTCATGGGAGCCGACGCTTGCAAGTGAGTGTCAGAGTGTAGGAACTCGGTGGGAGCATCCGTCCTCAATCACTTCACACTCGCTCGCAAACGTGAAATCGATTCGCTGTGTCCGGACAGTGGGTGAGTGCCTCCCGCCACCCCGCGCACTAAGGATAGTGCCCTGGTGTGGTGGGCCGCCGGCGAGCGGGCTAGTGGGTGAGTGCCTCCCGCCACCCCGCGCACTAAGTTAGTGCGCGTAGTGAGTGGGCCGCCGGCGAGCGGGCTAGTGGGTGCCTCCCGCCACCCCGCGCACTAAGTTAGTGCGCGTAGTGGGTGGGCCGCCTTCTAGTGGTCGGCGAGGCCGTGGCCAGTGCTCGCCGACCCTCCCCACCACACTAAGTCGTCATCTGTGCTGTGTCCAAGATCTGGTGACGCCTCCTGGATGAGTGGACGTTAGTCCGCGCAATGCAAAAGAAAGAAAGAAAGAAAACAGACAACGCAAAGGAGGGATGGGAGGACGGCACGCCGCCACCACACAGGGATTTTAAGGAGAGGAGTGTGGTGCTAGCCGTCGCCCACCCTCGGGCGTCTACCACTTCCTATCTCTCTTCGCAGTTTCTCACCAATTCTCGCAGCGACCTTCATGCAACCTCTCGTTCTTCTCACTCTCGTCCTCGTTCTCTCCCCTGCTGTTTCATCCTCTGACTCATCGCTCTCCTCGGCCTCGTTCTGAGATGCCGCTGCCGTCTGCCTTGCTCTCGCTGCTTCTCTCGCCGCTCTGCGTAACTCCGCCCTCCTCGCGGCATTGCGAAGCATGGACGGCTTCGGCTGTTTTTCTACTTCGCCGCACAGCTCCGGGCATTATCGGAGACAAGAAAAGAAGTGTGGCGGGTGGCGGGCCTGCCACGCTCCGCGGAACGACGCCGCCTCGCCGCCGCCGCCCTCGCCACCACCGCCACAGCAGCACGAAAATTCCACGATATGGCTGCCACGACGGCCCAAGTGCTGCCAGCGGGGCCAACGCTGCGGCTTTTGCAGTACTCGCCCGCGTGGGGCGCGCCTTCGGTCGATCCGCGGTGCACAAAGGCGCAGGCCTACCTCCGCGTCTGCGGCCGCTCCTACGAGGTTGAGGACGCCTCGGCCGCCGCGCCGGGCTGGTCGCCGCTGCTGCTGCCGGTGCTGCGCGACGGCGCGCGCGCGGTGGAGCCGGACGGGCTGTACGCGCACCTGCGCGAGGGCGGGATCGACGCCGACGCGAAGCTCTCCGCCGAGGAGCGCGCCGAGTCCGCCGCGTGGACGGCTCTCGTCGAGGAGCGGCTCGGGCTGGCGCTGCTGTACGCGTGCTGGGCCGAGGAGGACAACTACGCCGCGGTGCTCAAGCCCGCGTACGCGCAGAGGCTGCCCCTCCCACTCTGCCTCTACCTGCCGTGGACGATGCGCCGGCGCGCCCTCTCGCAGCTGGCGAGGCGTGGCGCGATGGGCGAGAGGGCCGCTGTGCACTGCTCGGCCGCTGTGAACAAGGCGCGTTCACAGCGCGAGGGCGAGTAGGTGAGGGCGTGGCGTACCGGCTGGGCGGCGAGGCGCTCGAGGCGCTGAACACGCGCCTCACCGGCCGCGGCTCCTTCTTCGCCTCCGGCGCATCGGCGGTGGACGCGACGGCGCCCGCGCCTCCCTCGCTCCCTCCTCATTGTCACTTCTGACGCATCCGGCGCCAATGAAGTTGGGGGTGACACTGACACCCCGCCTTCCTCCTCCGCATCGCTTCGCCCACGTCCCCTCCTCGTCCGCCCCCCTCCCTCCTCCGCCGGGCTGGCTCCGCACACTAGCTCCTCGCACGCCTCTTCGCTCCGTGAGACAGGCTTTCTCGTACCTGACCGCCGTGCTGCGCTGCCCGCTGCCTCGCGACACCCTGCGTGCGCACCTCAAGTCGCTGCCTGCCCTCTGCAGCTACGTCGAGGCCTTCTCGACCACCTTCTTCGGCTCCTTTGAGCCCCTCCTCCCCTCGCCGGAGACAGACCCGCGGCTCAGGCCTCCGCCGCTGACCGGCCGCCCCACCGCCTTCCCGTATGCTTTCGGGGCAGACGAGGGCGGCGGCGGCGAGGCGTCCGAGGCGGCGGCGGGCGGCGGCAAGAGCAGCCGCACGCCCAAGCAGCGCCGTTTCAAGGAGCGGTCTCGCAACGCCGTGCTCGGCGCGCTTGGCGGCGCACTGGTGTACGCTGTCGCGACAGACTTGGCGGGCGGCGAAAGGAGGGGCGGCCCCTGCGAGCTGCGTGTCTTCACACCTGCAGCGTGAACAGGTGGGCGGCGAGGAGGAGCTCGACGAGTACGCCGCCGACGAGCAGCAGTGACGACCGACGGGCGGGCTGTGGGGGCCTCCCTGCCACAAGGCGTGAGGCCGGGGTGGCGGGGTTCACCTCTCGTGCTCGTCCTCTGGCGGGACTGGGCTGGATCTACGAGGTCCCATGTTCCATGACTGAGAACGCTCGGCCTCCACACACACTCGCGAGGTTGGCCCTCGACTGTTGGCCAACAGTACAGCTCGAGCGTACAACGTCTGTGGGCACACACAAAAGAGCCTGTGGGTATTACAAAGTAGGATATAGCGATTAGCGTGTGTATAGACAATAGAGCCTGTGATTCACACGGTGTGATCTGAAATGATCAGTTCTGCGTGAGGGGCGGCCGCTCGGCCGAGGCGGTGCCCGGTGCCGAACCTGTCGGACCTTAAGAGCCTGTACCTAATGTACGTGAACAACTACACTCTTCTACCTCACACTCACACTCCAAAAGTCACTCGCGGTCGTCTGCGTCCGCCCCCGCCTCGCTCGGGCTCGCGCGAGGAGGCGCCTCCCCCTCGCCCCCCTCCCACCTCCCCTCGCGCTTGGCCGCCCGCACGTCCTCGAGGAGCTGCCGCAACTCGTCGGCGTCCGCCTAGGGGCGCAGAGCCGTGCCTCTGTGGAGCGCCTGCGTGTGCGAGGCCCTGCTAAGGCCCTCCCCCGCGCGTGCTCCTCCCGCGCCCAGGCCCTCCCCTCGCTAGGCCTCGCTCGGGCGGGCTCGCCTTGTCGAGCTTGCGCTGCGCCTCCATCTCCCTGCGCATCTCGTTCTCGTCCACCTGCTCGCTCGGCGGGGCCGTGAGCGCAGCACTCCGACAGCGCAGCGACGCGTCCACGCACACGCACACCCAGCAGCGACGCGTACCAACGCAGCGACTCGAGTGTGGGTGTGGGGTGGGGCGAGAACTCGAGGCTGGTGGCTGGAGACTGGTGAGAGGGTGAGAGGATGTGGGGAGAGGAGGAGCGTGCGGGAGGGGGTTGCGGCGCCTCGCGCGAGAAGGGCTTGATGGTGGGCACCAGCGCCGACCGGTCCACCTCGAGCTTCACCTGCTCACACGCGCGAGGTGTGAAGAGAGGCCGCCCTCCCTGCCAGCCACCCCGCCGCGCGAAGAGTCGCCATCGAGAAGGAGCTCTCCTCCGCGTGCAGCGTGCCGCCCTCCCCGTTCGGAGACGTCGAGTTCCACGCCGTCACCTTGCCAACCACCCGCAGGCTCGGCGCAGCGCCCTTGCCGCCGCCGCCGCCGTCGGCACCGCCGCCGCCGCCGCCGCCGCCTCCCTCCCCGCCGCCGCCGCCGCCGCCGTCCGTGCCGGGGTCTGTGAGCGCGAGCGAGAAGAGGAGCCCGTCGTACCTCCGCTCCAGCCCCGCCCGCCGGTTTGTGAGGGTCATCCGCAGCCGCCTCCTCCGCGAGCCGTCCTCCACCTGCACCGGCGGAGGAGCGGTGGTGGCGTGGTGAGGCCGGGGAGAGAGTCGCGGCGACGAGAGAAGAGGGAGGCGCCGTCTGCAAGTGACTGGCCCTCCGCCCGTGTCCGAGGACGGCTTCGTTCACAGCGCGGCCATCCCACC